CTCGCAGGTACGAGCCGCAGAAGAGAGAAATGGAGGGCAGCCCAGAATACGCAGATGCGGAAGATTGCGCGCACCTGCGTGAGCGCATGTGCGAGAGCCATGATCGCAGGTGCGGCTAGGCTCGTAGAAGCAACCCTCTTTGTCCGCAGATGCGGAGACCGACCAGGTGAGGGAAAGGTGCACCTGCAAGGCATTTGCCGTAGGTGCGGGACCGCAGATGCGACCCAAAGCACTGCATATGTGAAAGTCATTGGGCAGTGAGGGTTCATTAAATACGGGACTTAGGCCATTTTTATCATATTTTCATCCACTCTTGGGCGATTTGAGAGCTTTCAAGGAGGGGATTTTGACTTAGCTTTGTGAGGTAAGTAGTTTCTTCTTAATGTGAGTTTAATACATAGATTATGGGTAGATTTTAATAGAAAAATTGGTAGAAATTATGGGTTTAGATAAAAAAAAACTAGGGTTTAATAAAAAATAGGATTTTACCACGATAATGGTTATGGAACTTAGTGAAAATCATATATTTATGTTTCTAAGGTTATGGATAACAACTTTCTTCAAAAATTTTCGGAATCCGGGCACGTGGGCCCGAGAGTGAATTTTTAGAATCTTGCATTTATGGTTAGGTAGCCTCTTTAATAGTTGGAATATGAACTCTTGAGCACGTATTGACTAGTTAGTATATTATTTGATTAGTTTGGATTGATTCGGTACCGACTTGAGGATGTAAGCGCATTCTTGATTCGGGAAGTAGACTTTGAGACGGGGTAAGTCTCTTTTCTAACCTTGTAAGATGGAATTAACCCCATAGGTGAACTTAAATCAATATGTACTTCTAATTGTGGGGGGCTACGCACGCACGATGTAACGAGAGTCCGTGCGTAGCTACTATTCATGCTTATGTCCGGGTAGATATAGGCTTACGCCATGATTTGTTGATACCGTTGCTTGTTTATGCTTACTAGTTGTCGGATTAAAGTGGAAGTTGAGGGTCTCAATATTTAAAGCCCCAAGTTGAATTTCTTATTTTTTTTTAAAGGAAGTGAGGAATACTATGATAAATTGAGAAATTATATGTTCAACCGCTTCGCAAATATATTTCGCGAGCGGGGTAAATTTTCACTACTCTCATGGGAGCGGGTCCGCAGGATTTATTGATATATTATATGGTTCGGGCCGTTCGATCCTCGGCAGTGTACAATATATTATTATGTATATTTGGATCGGGCCGTACATCCTCGGCATAACTCGTGCGTAGTGATACCGAAATCCCTTTTTATATTTAATAATGCTTCACAGACTTGAAAGGTGAAAGGAATAGATGAGAGAAATGGTTTGATTCTTATTTGAAAGAAGGATTTGCTTGCTTACTTCCTGTTTTGANCCTTAGTAAGTGTCGAAGTCGACCCCTCGTCACTACTTCTTTGAGGTTAGACTAGATACTTACTAGGTACACATTGTTTAAGTACTCACGCTACACTTCTGAACTTGATGTGCAGGATCTGATGCAGGTACATCTGGTTACCAGTTCGGTGCGCACTCTTGACTTCTAGCTCGAGACTGCACGGTGAGCTGCCCATCCGAGCCGTTTAGCAGCAGCCAGAGTCTCTCTTTTGGATTTATATTTCTGTCTATTTCCTTGAGACAGTAGACTAGTATTTCTTTTGTATATTCTACTAGTAGCCTACACACTTGTGACACCAGGTCTTGACACACACTAGTAGACTTATGATTTTGAATTTATTGTTGTGACTTCGATTTGCACTCAATTGCTTTTGTTTATTTACTTTACAACAGTAAATTTCTAAAACTTTTATAAATGGGGAAGTTATTCACTTTGTAAACATATTAAAAATGGAAATCACTAGATCTATCAGTGTTGGCTTGCCTAACAACGGTAGTGGGCGCCATCACGGCCTTTGATGAAATTGGGTCGTGACAATTTTATTGAAAATAAATTAATCGTGCAGATTTTATGTATTGACATATTTGGCACGAGAGTTGTCCGTGCAGTTGTGATAGAGATATGGGCACGAGGTTTCGTGAGAATATGAAAGGGGGTTGAGAACCGCATTTTATGATTATGATATGAGATATTTATTTGAAAGTGTTTTATATTCTAAGGATACTTATTTGAAGAAATATATTAGGAGGGTGTTTATTCGAAAGAATTATATGTGAAAGATTTATATTTGAAGTACTTGTTTAATTGGTTGTACTTATGTTTCTTATTCGTCTCAGTAATAATTATGGTGTTCTTGCTGCCTTACTGTTTATATCACTAGTTGATTATTGTTGCTATCACTGCTATTTATTTTCGATTATTTCTGTATGCTATATTGCACAGGTTATTTGACTAGTAAATGTCTTGACTGTACCTCGTCACTACTCCACTGAGGTTAGTCTTGATACTTATTGGGTACCGACTATGGTGTACTCATACTACACTTCTGCATATTTTTGTGCAGAGCCAGGTAAATTTGGAGTCAGTTGATTGCTAGCTAGCTGTACGGATCTTGCTGTGGAGACTCAAGAAAAATCTATTGTTGCGTTCGTAGGCTTCAGAGTCACCTTCTGATATTGTACTTGCACTGTTTTATCTCTACTTCAAAACAGTTGTACTTATAGGATTTCTTGTAACTTAGTAGAGCTTATGACTTGTACTTTCGATTTTGGGGATTGTAAGTATTGTATAGAGATTTCTACTTCGCATTTGTCCATCGTTAATTAATATTGTTATTATTTCAGTAAATGTTAGGCTTACCTAGTCCCTAAGATTAGGTGCCATCACGACATCCTACGGAGGGAGATTTGGGTCGTGACAGGTAGTCAAGAGTGTTCATAACAGTAGTATTGACACGCAGTCTCGCTTTCTGTTGGTAGTAGGTTTTTATGACTAACCGTTGTTTTCTTTCATTGTTGATCACCTTACTATCTTGTTGTTTTTATTTTACTTTTATATGATTTTTGTTATTGTCCCTTCTTGTCTATATTTTCATTAATGTGGTGCTTATGCTTTCCTGAGCCGAGAGTCTATTGGAAACAACTTCTCTATCCTCACAAGGTAGGAGTAAGGTCTGCGTACACACTACCCTCCCCAGACCCCCACAGTGTTGGATAATGTTGGGTATGTTGTTGTTGTTGTTGTTGTTGGTCATCTATATTTATATAACTACAATAATGTACATTTTTCTCAATATTTTTATTAATTCTAACTAAATGTAAAGATTTTTTTCAACGTTAATTCTAACAGAATATACAAGATAAATAAATTAGTATTACAATCTTATATTACTTTCTTTATAATAAATTTTGCTAATTAATCACATAAGAAAGAAAATAACCAATAACTTCGTTAATTGGAGGTAAGGCTTAAAGTCATTATAAGACAAGTGAGGTATGTGGGCCGAAAGTTATTCTTTTATTAAGCAAGCTAAATCGATTAACTTCTAACATTGTCAAAAAACTTACCCTTATTTATATATTTATTTATTTTATAGCTCAAAATATTATTTAATAATAATTACGTAATCTTTTTAAGTTGCATACTCAATGTTACGGAATATATGTACAATAATTTGTTATTTTTATACATATTTTTAATTGATTGACGTCATACACACGTGCAACGCATATACACTAAAACTAGTAAATAAATAAAGGGGAAATATCAACTTTACTACGTAAATAATTTGGACGAGCTAAGTTCGAAGAAAAGGATAGTTGCTTCTAGGGCTGTCAAATTTGGTCCAAGCCCAAATGAGCTGCCCAACCCGTCCAATGTTGGGCTGATTAATGACCCGTCCATTAATTGAACTCAGCCATCTTGATCTATTCCATCTCATCCCATTTAAAGTTGAGCTGATTTTTAGTCCAAATTGATTCATGAATAACTTTGCCAAAATATCTTAGAAATAATATTTTTTGTTTGATATGTTATATATTACAATAACAAAAGAAAAAAAGTCTTATTTAGTAATTATACAATTCATAAGAAAAGAACACATATTAAGTAAAACTTTATAAGAGTTGGGCGGGTTGGGCTTATGACCCAAATTTTAGTCCATATTGACACAACACATCTTTGCCGAAATAACTTTTAAACATGTTATTTGACCCGCCTAATTATTGATTACTGCTCATTTGACATTCTTAGTTGCTTCCATTAGTACATGTGGTCTTGAGTAAAAATATTAATCATATAGCAGAAGAATTAATTTTGTAATAATGCCAAGGAGCAATGGCCGGTGCTTCAAATCGAGAATGGTATCTATGTACAAATTTTTTAAGTTGTACAATGGAGCATCACTACTAGTCTACAATACATTCGGTCTTGGAACTTGTTTAACGATATGGCAAACATAATTAAATATTTTATTCATTTTTAAAAAATATTTTCTGGTCCAAGTAATTTTATTTCTGTAGGAAGTGTGGAAAAGGGAGCCCACGAGCAATTTATCAAAGAGGAATAAAATAACATTAAAGGTTTGTTTCTTATCCACTAACATTGAATTTAATTACAAAATTATGATTATTTTTGTCTCATATTAAGAAAGAAACGTAGCTCACGAGTACTGATGATAATCACGAAGTGGATAAGTTCATCCTGTTACCGGCTTGTATGCTTCTTTATTAAGAAAAAAGATTCAAGTTATGTATTGTGTGGAGCCGAAATCATGATTTGAAGGTTACGAAGTCTAGGTCTGATCATATTATCGAACCTAATTCGTTTTTGTTATCGGGTTCATAATTAAATATATTTAATAAATTTTTTAATATAAATAGAGAATTTAAACAAAAGCTACTAGATTCGTTCTAACTCGTCGCTAGTATTGCACTACCTCCGCCCTTGGTGTCAGTGTACAATTTTTTAGACATCAACAAAATTTAATAAGTTACAGCACTTTTTAATTACGTACCAATTAACACTCATGGTCACCTGTAAAATTTTAAAATATAAGGAGCTTGATTTTGTAAATGTTTTTACAATACCATAATATGCATGAAACTTAAACTCAAACAAAAATGTTTACATTATTAAAGCATACAGCAAGACAATTTAGTTGAAACTTGGTCATGCTTCGACAAGCATTATTGAAGTGGTGGAGATTTGACTAATTTACAACCCAATTAAAATGGTTACTACAACAGTTGGTCAAGTCTTTGGAAAGATTCTCTCATCTTTTCTCTCATTGCTTATACTTTTGAAGCCAAAAATTGAAGCTCGAAATTTCATGAAAACTTTATAGCATATCCAAAGAAGCTCTAAACTTGGAATTAAGCATAATGGAATTTCACATAATTCATATTTCACATCTCAATAAATATTCTTGAATATTCACACCACAGGTAATGAACCTCCAGCATCCACGAGTTGTTTCTCCAGCTACAAATTAATCAATTAATTGTAAAATGAGTATTTAATTTACAATTAATATAATGAAGCATATATAGTTGAATGATAGAAACTGAAATCACCTTAAATAAAGTTTCAAGCTTGTTTTTGACAAGGGTGTACTCATTCTTTACTTGTTGCAAACATTTTATGCACCTGCAGTTAATGATAATTGGCTTTATTCAATTGTCAAGAAAACAAGAAAAAAAATGAAAGGAAATGTAGGAAAAATTAAGAAATTACACGAAAAGCCTTACCCTTCAACAATCTGTTGCTCACAATAATTACGGAAGGCAATGCACATTCTTTGAACTCTTTGTGCACCAATGCTGTAATTAAATTAAAACCATGTACGAACGAGATAAAATTTTATTACTATTAAGTGTATTGTTAATAAAAAGTGAAATTAATAATCTGGAAAATAAGAGAAGGTACAAATCTTGGTTACAAATCTTAATAAAGAGATGCACAAGTCATTTCTACAAATTGAGAATTATTTTGAGAAATATTACCAAGATTTTTCTCTCAAAATTTTCCAAAAAAGAGAACAAGAAAATGCATGCTAGCTTTTTCTTTGACTTCAAAATGAAGTGAAATGGCCTTGTTCATCCCAACTCCAAACATAACTTAGATAACCGAAAGAAAATAGGGCAAAATATAAAATTAAACTGTCTGCCAAAACTAATTAACTCCGCTAGCCAAAAAGTGTATATATATATATATTAAAAAAATATATTTTGAGACAACAATAAAATAATATAATCCCACAAAGTTGGGGTTATTATTCTGGAAGCGGCTAAAAATATACATTTCTCAAGAAAATAAGCTCATAATTAATTCCAAATACTCCAAAGTGGAAAAAGAAACGAAAAGAGATATTGGAGTTATTTACCTGGAGCTGCTACCCTTCAACTGATGAACATGAGCATCAACTTTCTTGAAGTCTACATTTGGCTGATTGCTGTTTATACAAACCAAATTTGAAAAAATTGAAAATTATGCTACAGAAAATAGAAAAACAAAAGGGATGTTATATATACTATGTTAATTACTCACAGAGCTTTTGTTAGTTCATTAAGAAGCCTTTCAGAATCTTCAAAGAAAAGGGAAACAACTTCAACCACAAAGTCAGGGTTACTCTCATCTGCAAGTTGCTGCAGTTGTATGAACTGCTCATCCAGAAATTTCTTCACACCCAAACAAAATAAAAATAAAAATAAAAAACCACCCATCATCAAAACCATATTAAGGGACCAATCTGATTCTTATAACAATAATAAGATACACAGTGTATTCCTATACTGGGATATGATATAGTGTACGTCGACCTTACTCTTAAGGTGTGGAGGTAAAGCGGCAGTTTCCAAAAGATTCTCGGCCCAAGAAAAATAATTCACCAATTTAGAAGAAATTAATAGTATATTTAGAGGTTTACCTCATTGTACAAGGAAGAAGTGTAGTCAGCTAGTTTTCTTTGTAACTGGTTTACACTCTCCATGATTTGCTATATCCACAATGACTTCACAAATTAACAGTCTGCTCTGCTGCTTTTAACGAGAGGTTTTTATTAATAATAGTGAAGTGAGTGCATGTGGAGGAAGTTCCTTTTCAATAGTAGAGTACTATTTTTTCTTGGAAAAGCTCCAGCAGGGGAGGGGCACTCTATTCTATAGCGGGGAAGTCTAATGTTCAATGAATTTTGCACATTGATTCACTGTATTTATACGAGTAGTCTCTCTCTCACACACACACTTTTTTCACTTTCTCACCTTGTTGTTTTTGGCTGTTATATATAGTTCCGAAAAGGGAAAGGGCCGAATATTTTCTAATACTTTCGAAAAATTATTTAAATATATCATTCTTTATCCTATAAGTCTAAATATACCCCTACCGCTATACTTTAGGTTCAAATATATCACACATTTAAACGGAGTGACACATGTCATCATCCTATTTTGTCAATTTTAAATATCTCCTAATTAATTAAAAATACTCATTCCCATTACCCATACTCGAAAAATAATTTTTTAAAATATTTCTTGTAAAAATTGAAAAAAACTAAAATTATTTTTACTAAAACTGAAAAAAAATGAAATTTATTTTTTCAGTTTTTACAAAAATATTGCTTTAAAAAAAACTGAAAAATATTTTCTAAAGTAATTTTTTTGTAAAAAATGAAAAAGAAAATTCAACAAAATATTTTTCAGTTTTTTCAGTTTTTACAAAAAAATATTTTTTAGTTTTTTTAAAGCAATATTTTTGTAAAAACTGAAAAAAAAATATTTTCGTTTAATTCAGTTTTTAGTAATAATATTTTCAGTTTTGTTTTTCAGTTTTTACAAAAAAAATTGCTTTAGAATATATTTTTCAATTTTTTCAGTTTTTTTTAAAGCAATTTTTTTGTAAAAACTGAAAAAAAAATATTTTCGTTTTTTTTTTCAGTTTTTAGTAAAAATAATTTGAGTTTTTTTCAATTTTTACAAAAAATTTGCTTTAGAAAATTACTTTTCGGGTATGGGTAATGGGTATAGTTATGTGTATTGGTCCTTTTAATTAATTAGGAGATATTTAAAATTGGTCAATAGGACGATGACACGTGTCACTCCGTTTAAATGAGGGATATATTTGGACTCATAGTATAACGAAGGGTATATTTAAATAATTTTTGAATGTACAGGGGTATATTTGGCACTTTACACTTTTTAAAATGGTAAAGCTGTCACAAGATCCTAAATATTTTTCACCATACCCTTTTTTTGGTTTATTTATTATTTATTCCATTTTCTACTTTCATTTTCGTAATATTCCACTTTCTCACACAGAAACTTGTCCCGATTAATATATGATGGTAATATAATATGTGAACTGTATCTCTAGATACTTGTATGCTTGAGATATAATATAATGAACAGTATGCTTTCGTTTACTAAAATTTAAAATTGTGGTAGGTGTGTTAATTGTCGGGCTTGCAGGATTTCGACATACATTTATTTCAGCTTGAAATATTATTTGAAACCAATTTTTGTTTTACAATTTGGTTTATTAGATGCTTCTTATACTAAATTTGGCACTCTGTTTATGATTATATGTTTGTTTAGTATTGCTAATATAAGATTATCGTAACTATTTGTAAAACATATAATGTTAATACCGTGACCAACTTTCCTAATATTCTTTGTATCGTTTCAAAAGAATTATTAATATCCATAAATCATTTGTTGAAACTATTTAAAAAAAATATGAGTATATTACATGAAATATTAAAAGTCTAACAGTAAAAGAATCCAATCTTGCAGCAGAATTCCAATTTTTGATCCGTTTCTCATCTTAAGATGGAAAGGTGCCAATGGGTTGGCATGGACACGTCAGTATGTGCTGAACTTTAAAAAGGATTAGGGTACAGTGGGTGAAGGTGACCAGCCTAACTTATTTGCCATGTTACATCAATATCTCCAAGATTTACTAGGTAGATTCTGTCGGCATATTTGCTGGAGCCGATAATTTATTGAAAATAATATCTACCTTCACATGATAGAGGTATGATCTGTGTACACATTATATTTTAATTAAAAAATATTTTTATCTTTTTGACTGGTCTTCAAGAACAATATGAGTACATACCGTACGTGATTGACTTCACACAAAAAATTAAGGATCATAAGAGTACTTGGAAAACAATTTAGTATTTTTTTTTAAAAAATATTCAAACTGTCATAATAAAGGTTAATTTTTCAAAAGAAACAATAAAAATGGAGGTCGTATGAATTTATTCATTTTTTCAAAAAAAAAAAAAAAGATTTGAAGGGGAACCTTGGAAGAACAGTACAGTTATCTTCGCGTGACTTATAAGTCACAGAGTCAAGCTATAACATTAGTCATTTATGCTTGCGTTGTAGGCTGCTTACAACTGCTTACATCATACCCCTTATAGAATTGACCCTTTATCGGACCCTATGTAAACGCGAAATACTTTGCGTATCAAACGGCGGGAATAGAGAATTATACTGTATGTTGTTGTTGTATTCTGTCTGCATATTTAAATTGAATTAGGGGACACATATTATCAATTCTAAGAAAGTGTAAGTGTTACATAATTACATTATCTTTTCAACAGAAACTGGTGATGCTACTCAACTTTCTTAACCATCCGGTATCTAAAGTTTACAGGCCGGACCAATCCAAACTTGCGCTCCGTAAATTTATTTTTTATTTTCAGAGCTCGAGTAATTTCTTTTTTAATTAAGAATAAAAGGATCCTAATTATTCTTCGACACTGTTAAGTAATGAATTAAAACTTATACAGGCGTGAAATAGCGTACTGTCCACTACAACTCTGTCCGATTGGTATCCTTTGGCATGTGACAGTAAAAGGCTAAAAGCCAAATGAACCCATCTTATCTTGTGATCAACTTGTTTTATTCTTATCTATAATGTAATGAAATATTCCTTACCTACTCTTCCTTTCTTTTTTAATTTTATTTATCTAATCCACACATTTTTTAAAATTTTTATCTTTCACATTATTTCAACAATTACGTAAGCTTTAAGGGAATCTCTTTCTGGTCTGTTTGTTTTGTTTTGTTGTTGGTATTTGGTTGGTTGGTACATTGTGGATTAACTGACTGGTTTAACTTATCTTCGAAAGGGATTATTGGTCCCATATGATTGTTGCCCCACAACAAGTTCAAGGAATTACCTTTCTTTCTAACATTGTAACACCTGAGATTTATTCATGCTTCTCTATACAAATTTTAATCCTAAGTCGATCAAAAGAAAGAAAGAATGAAAACTCAATAGTACACGGAGTAAAAAGGAAAACAATCATGGTATATAACGAGATTTTATGTCTTAAAAAAGTACTATCGGCCTTGTAATTTATTTTTCTTTTGTGCTATGTCCAGTATTTTCATTGGAGGTAAAACAGTCTCAATAAAGACGATTCCATATATACTTAATTAGGGCTTGAATTCGAAATCTCATATAAAAAATAAAAAAAATACTTGCTGATGTACAAATAACCCTTATTGGTTTATAATTTATCAGTACGAATATTCTTAGAGAATTTCAGTGCTTCAACATATAAAATACATTCCTCAACTATATAATCTAAAATTGTTCTTCATACTTTTCAAATGGAGAAATGACATGGCTTTAATTTTCTTCAGAAAGAATCATTATTCATCATTCTGATTCTTTTTTGACTTTTATGCTATTGTGATGTTGATATATTTTATACATATTTGTGAAGAATACAAAACGTTTGTCATATATTTAGATTTTTTTCAGCGACAAGGGACAAGTGTCATGTACACAATAACACACCTGTTTGGGACATTATATTCTTTTTCTACACATTGGTATTATATTTAAATTCAAAGTTTGAAAAAGATATACCAAGAATTTGATTGTCGCTTTTCCTATACGAGTCCAAAATGTGCCCATACTGTTAAGTGAGAAAAAATGAAACTTTACAAAATCACTATAATTGGGAGCACTTGCGTCCATATCATATTACATTGAGACAAATTTCCATTCACATTCCCCAAGTAGGGCCTGTTTTCACCTTTGACAAGACTTAGAGTTTTTTTCTGCAAATTCCTTTTTCGTTTTACCTATTAATTTTTACTTGATTTTTATTTTATTTTAATGAGCTAACAAGGTTTTGATCAACTAGAACCCTCTATACCAATTTTATGTGACAGTCTTAATAATTTTTACTTTGACTACGGCATTTTCAAGCATTATAATTAGTAATATTTTTTGTTTTATAGCACTTTGTTAGTGTTATTTATAAGTATGTATATTTAATTCCCACAAAAAAAAGGAACTGGTGTCCTAACTCCTAACTCTTAATTCACATAGAATATTGTACGCGTCGATCCTCAT